AATGTTGTTCAGGGCCATGACCTTGACAACATTTGTCAAGGTCAAGGCGATTGGAGGCTGTTCCTAATATTTTCATTTCTTCCAAAATTATACAGTGAAAACAAAAATAATAATTTAAATTGTAGGGGTAACATGTGGAGTCCGATTGACTCTAAAGAATCATAGGAAGGTCACAATGTTTTGTCGAGGCTACAAAGAAGCACACGTGTGAAATCCATTAATAAATTTTTTAATAATTATAGCATTATAATCTTCCTATGATTTTAAATTTTTATTTAATTATTATTTATATCTATCCCATGATTTTGAAATATTATTTTTGTTTTCACTGTAGAATTTGAAGAAATGAAAATATTAGGAACAGCCTCCAATCGCCTTGAACTTGACAAATGTTGTCAAGGTCATGGCCCTGAACAACATTTAAAAGATTTTAGCCGTCGGTCGAACACCTTGGGTACTAATGCTAATGGCAACAATATTGTAACTTTGAAGCCTTTTAACTCGAAAGATACTCAATAAAAAAATATTGTATTATAATGTTTTGAAAAGCTCTCGAGCTACAAAAATATGCAATGAAAAATGGAGGTTTCCATTTAAGAAATTGAAGGTAACCTTGTGACAGCGGTTTCGCCGTCACCGAATTAGACAGGGAGACGTGGAGAGCTGTGCTCGCGCCCCCTTCTCCCGCGGGAAGGGCGGCGGCGAAAAATTTGGTCTCGCACGCCCGTGCGTGCGAGATCGCGTGTTTGTAATTTTTTTGTTTGATTTGTATGCTCGGGTTACGGCGAGTGCGACGTGGTATTTCTATCGACAGGGAGCGACGGCGGGCCTGAGGCGAGCGACGAGCCAAACGGGGCAGGATCCACCCCGCGCTAACATAAGCGACGGGGGTCCCGACTAACTTGCCGCGGGGCGCCAGGGAAGGCTGGACCTTAAGGACCAGATCCCGGGGGACGCCCTGGGATACCAAGAACTTCCAGCAGCCACCTGTGCGACCACGCAAGTTAAGGATGCCGTCGGGCCACAGGATCCCGCCGACAAGGAGATAGAGAATTCGGCGGCTTCGCGCGGACCCTGTAAGGCGCCCGCGCTAGAGCCGTACACTTCCGCAGGACCAATAGGACCTAGCGGCGATCGGCGGCTAAGACCGCGAGCCGAAGGAACCTCGCGCTCACGGAAAATTCGTCACTGTGCGGATAGCGAGCGACGCGAGCCCTTCGGCGAACTCCGCGAAAACGGTGCGAACGAGCGAGCGACCAAGCGGCGACCCAGTTCGGCGACCCAGTTCGGCGAAGAGTCGACGGAGACGAGGACGAGAGAGGGAGCGAGCTCAGTGAGGGAAAATTGGTGAGCCGTCCTCTGCCTATCGTTCAGCCCGGATGCCTAAGGACCGGGGTGGTTGCCGTCGCTTCACGACGGCAGCCGGAAGGGTTCGTCGTCGACCTTGACGAATCATCCGACCTCGCGACCGCGGGCTAAGACTCGAGTGCCCGCGAGAGTGTAACCGTCCTTCCCGCGTTGCCTGCTGCCGTTTCGCCGCGTTCGCGACCGCACAGGACGGCGAGCGCCTGCGCGATCATTGTGATTATTCGCGATCACGATTCGGGAGTGCGGGTTTCCGAGAGCGACGGAAGATACGCGGTTCGCGACGCAATGACTAGGGCCGGGATGTACCCGGCTGGCGCCCAACTACGTAATTAGGATACAACGACCGAATTTCGCGAACCTCGGGCCGTCCGAACCCTGCGAGGCAGACGGATCCTCGACTACGGATCCGGCTGCCGAACGGCCTCGCGACTACGCGACTCGGAGCCCGCACCGCTTCTTTTGTAGAGTCTTTCTTCTTGTTGTTATTAAATACAGCGGTAATGTTAAGCGGCATGTGTGACAATTTATGATTCCTCTGACTCTGTCGCCTGTTCCTCCCGTGTCGCGTGAAGGAAGGTCGCGTGTCGATACACGAACCCCGCCGCTCTATCGAGTCAGATATCTTTTTTGAGAGCTGCCGGCAAGCTCGGCCGTCGCCGCAACGGCGGAGACGAAGTTGGGCCGTATTCTCGCGTATAGCTAATGAATCGCGGTCACAACCTTTATGTGACTTTCAAACGATTATCCAGGGTCAAGCCAACTGCACCAACTTATGTCCTCCTCCGAACCATACAACTTTTGTTTGAAATATTTTTCCGTACCTTCCATATTTCTCGAGATATTTGCCTGATTCGATTAAAATGACTCACTGTTATATATACAGGGTGTTCCCAAAAGGTGGTACCAAATTTTAAGGGTATGTAGTATTCGTTAAAACAAACCAAAAACTCTTAATGAACAGTACTCCGAAAACCTTTTATTTCTGAGGTATGAGGCATTTTGTTTTGTGAAAAATAGAAAATAACTAAAATTTACAATAAATGTTCAATGTGTCCCTCCGTCCATTTCAACACACAATTCGGCACGTCTCCTTATTGAAGATTGAACACGTTCAAAGATTCCGGGTTTATTCCGTATTTGTTGACAACAGTTTTCAATTCTCTGAGTCAATTCATCTATTGTATCAACTGGTGTGGCATATACCATGCTCTTCCAGTGTCCCCATAGATAATAATCCAACGGATTTAAATCCGGTGAGCGAGGTGACCATACAACTGGTCCGCCACGTCTTATCCACTTTTCTTGAAAACGATTGGTTAAATGGCGTCTGACATTAACGAGGAAATGGGCAGGAGCACCAGAATTTGTGTAAAAATTAACCGTTCTTCAGATAACACAAAACTACACACGGTCCACAGTTGAATACAACAATCCCTGCGTAATTAGGTGGTCACATACGAGCGTCCGTGAATGAACTGACTAAGAGACTTGGAAACTGTTGTCAACAAATACGAAATAAACCTGGACTCTTTGACCTTCAATGACAAAACATGCCGAAATGTATATTGACATAAGCCGAAGGCATATTGAACATTTATTGTAGATTTAATTTATTTTCTATTTTTCACAGAACAAAATGCTTCATAACTCAGAAATAAAAGGTTTTCGGAGTACTGTTCATTAAGCGTTTTTGGTTTGTTTTAACGAGTACTACATATCCCTAAAATTTGATACCATCTTTTGGGAACACCCTGTATATATATATTTTTTTTTTAAATATAAAATTGCATTTTTGATACAATATATATATATATATATTTTTTTTTTTAAGTATAAAATTGCATTTTAGATACTAGATGTATAAGTAGTGAATAAAATAAATGTTACTTATAGGACCGCGAACAACACAACGTGTGTTAAGATGTGAAGACACATATGGCTCTCCGGAATCACCGTTGTCGAAAATGGATATTTTGACAGTTAGTAAGTAAATTTTTCTATCGATAACTGAATAGAACTAATAATGCGAACTTGAAAAAATAGATATTGAAGGAATAGATATTGAAGGAATAGATATTGAGTGCGTAACAATCTAACGTAATTAAAATCAAGTGTTATTTTATAGGTTCCTCATTTGAGCAAGACAGCGAGACTTGCGTATCCAGCGATATTACAAGCCCACATAGTGTTTCCCAATTGGAATTTCCAACTCCAGAGCGGTTGCTACCAGTTGGCCCTCTAAGAGATTTCTCCAGCTTAGTTGAACGTGTATGTCAAGCTTTAGAAATCTCAGACATTCAAGGTTAATATTCATTATACGATTTTAGTACTTTTAAAATTTTTACTATGGCTTAATATTGTTTAATTTTTCGCTTTAGATACAAATAAATCGAACGAGGATGCGAAACGTGACACGATGATACTTATGAAACAGGATAGCAGAACGGCCGAAAATATGGTAAGATCAAGAGAAAGTCCGAAAAAATATGTTTAAGAAAATAGCAAATTAGACCCAAATCGACTCATAATGTCATTTTGTAATGACTGACGGCAAAATTAAGATCGAAATATAACTTATCAAACCTCTCGGTTGAAGTTATAACTACTCATAGAATGAGTCTTTAGATAAAGGAGAAAGGAATGCTTGAAGTTATAACCACTCATAGAATAAGTCTTTAGATAAAGGAGAAAGGAATGCTCGATAATCATTCACAGACCCTGCAGGGTAGGAAGAAAATAAAATACTTCCCATGAACCAACAGTATAAAAACAATAGATAAAAACATAACGGAATTATTTCATAATGATAGATCAAGTAATATGAAAAATTCAGTAGGATTCATGGATTTTAAGTGGAGAGTGAGGGAGGATGCAACCCGTTGTTTATAGACAAACATATACTACATATATTAGGACCTTAACTTAGTTTCCGCCCGCAAATGTTAGATGGCAATGCAAACAGTTCTAGTAGTCATTACTAACGAAACAGGTAGTTTGTGATTAATTTCGACATTTCTCGATAACATTCAGTCAGCATACACAATTATTTTCCTAAACAACAATTTCTTTTGCTTTGTGAAAAATGGAACGCGATAAAGTGTTTTTTCGACATGTGCTTTTGCACTATTTTGATTTGAAAAAAAGTGTAGCAGAAGTTCATCGATTACTTGAAGAAGGTTATGGTGATCGAGCTCCATCACATACAACATGTAAAGAGTGGTATAGACGATTCAAAAGTAATGATTTTGATGTCAATGACAAACCACGCTCAGGACAGCCAAAAAAATTCCAAGACGATGAATTGCTAGCATTATTGCATGAAAACTCGGCTCGAACGTTACAAGAACTTGGAAACGAGCTAGGAGTTACTGAAGCAGCTGTTTCCAAACGTTTACACGCCATGGGAAAGATCCAAAAGGAAGGAAGATGGGTACCACATGAATTGTCTGAAAGTGCCATTCACAACCGTTTCAATATCACGGTTTCGTTGCTTGCCAGGCAAAAAAAGAAGAGTTTTCTGTGGCGTATTGTGACTGGCGATGAAAAGTGGATCTACTACGACAATCCCAAACGCAAAAAATCATGGGTAGACCCAGGACAACCATCAACATCGCAGCCAAAACGGAACATCCACGGTCATAAGGTAATGCTTTGCATTTGGTGGGATCAGCAAGGAGTGCTGTACTACGAACTGCTGAAACCAAACGAAACTGTTACTGCCGATGTCTACAAATGTCAATTGAACAAATTGAATGATGAGCTGTTGCGAAAAAGACCAGCAATAGCGAGTAACAGGCGCAAAGTTATTCTCTTACACGATAACGCTCGGCCACACACTGGAAAAACCGTCAAAGAAACACTGACGCAGCTCGAATGGGAAACTCTTCCTCACCCAGCGTACTCACCAGACATAGCGCCTTCTGATTACCACTTGTTCAGATCGATGCAGCACGGCTTGAGTGGTACACGCTTCCGAAATGTTGAAGAAGTGCGAGAATGGGTGGACGAATGGATTGCTTCGAAACAAACATCGTTTTATCGAGATGGTATCGCCCAGTTGCCAGAAAGATGGCAAAAAGTTGTAGAAAGTGATGGAAAATACTTTCATTGAAATAATTTAAATAAATTTTTTACAATAAATGCTTTTTCTCAGTATTTTTTGGGCGGAAACTAAGTTAAGGTCCTAATAGTACATGATTTAATCTCATTGCAGAAGAATCAATTAACTATGAACAATAAACGTATTTTATATAAAATTCTAATGTCTGAGAAAAGTGAAGAATAATAGGTAGAGTTAAATACTTAGAAGAACAAATAAATAAATTAGTGCAAAGATATAATTGTTCAAAGCTCAATTGCAATGATAAGTACATGTACATATTAAAAGTACATATTAAAATACATGGACAAATATATGTATGAAAAATCAAAATTAATAAAACCAATAAATATTTTTTAATTGGAATAAAATTTTATTTAAATACATACAGAGTGTCTGACTCGCACCATATCTATATAGAGCTATATAGAGCATTTATAGAACTAATATATAGCTAGAATAGGTCGGGGTGAGTAATGGAATCGGTCTATTTTTTTAAACCATATAAAATTTCGAGTTATTAAATAAAATAAATGGGCTAATCAAAATGCGCGATGCGGCAGGCGGGATATACGGTTCGCCGTGGCCAGCGAAGAAGAGGAACGATTGCTCACGGGTCTATCACGCAGTGTCAGATCTAAGACGTAATCCCCACATTTGGGCCTATGAAATAGGCCCGCGAGCAAGCGTCCATTTTCTTCGCCGGCTGCGGCAAGCCGTATGTCCCGCCTGCCGCGTCGCGCGTTCTTATTAGTCCATTTATTTTATTTAATAACTCGAAATTTTACGTGGTTGTTTAAAAAAAGACACCGATTCCATTACTCACGCCGATCTATTCTAGCTAAATATTAACTCTGGTATGATGCGAGTCAGAAACTCTGTATATATTGCAGTATAAATATAATAAAAATTTCAACAAAAAAATTAAAATGAGAAGGAAATAATTTATAAAAATCTTAATAAAAAAGCTGTACAATAAAAAGAAATTGTAAATAAGTAAAAATCCTATTAAAAAAGATAGTAAAACGAAAGGAACTAATAAATATTAAACTGTAGCGTCCCTGAAATAAAAAAAAAAGTTGAATGGAGTCACATATAATCTAATATTAAAATATGATAAATTGGTCCCTAATGTATTCGGAGAAGCGACTGCTGCGGATATAAGCAAACGATCAAATGCGCGAGCGTCCTAAGATAGTGACATAAATAATGTAAACATGAATACGAATATATATTAATGATTTTGAAATGTTAAGAGTCATGTGAGTTCTTGATAATTTCAAAATCATCGATATCTATTCATATTCATGTTTATATTATTTGTGTCATTATCTCAGGACATATCGCGAATTTGATCGTTTGCTTACATCCGCAACAGTCGCTTCTCCGAACACGTTAGAAACCTATCATACTATATTTTATTTAAATACATACTGTTTAAATACTATATATCATATTTTAATATTAGATATGTAACTCCATTTGACTTTTTTATCACAAAGACGCTACGATTAGATAATTTTTTATTTATCCTTATAGAAAAGTATCACTGGCTGTGATAAATTGGCCAGTAATAAATAGTAATTTTATTACTCGTACGAGTAATAAAATTATTGAACGACAGTAATTATCACTGGCCAAATTATCACTTATCAGTATTAAATTTCTATAAGGGTAATTGATGTTTATATTAAAAATTTTATAATTTAGAACTGTGATTCTCATTAAACTATTAATATCTTTATTGTATAGGCTCTTGCGATAGTGCCTCCTTATTTTATCTTTGTTCTCCTCACAAATTGTTTAGCAGTGATATGGAATTTGTTGCACTTTCCTTTCCCCTTACATTTGCTACTGTTAGACGGAGGGCATGATCCCTAGTGTCCCCCAATTACGAACTCTTCTTGACTATGAAAATCAAAGAGTTCGGTAGTGACACATGTGGTTTAACAGTTCCATCATCGATTACTTCACATCTGAATACGTAACCCTGCTTAAAATGATAGATAGAAAATAATTGAAAATTCTGGCTTTCCTTTTTAATAGTGATTTTGTCTCTCTTATTTCGCATTTAAGAAATTTTATAAAGAAATCTTTCATATATTATCATATCCCCAACAAATATCTTATATATTCCTTATGTATTTTTTTATTTTTCAATGATAATAAAAGTTGCTTTGCTAGGTAAATTTTGACAGGAATGTCTTATATGAAAGCTGTTGTTTTTATCATACTTAACGTTTGTATCATAACTTATACAAGTATACATATATATGTAACTCTATGTTACTCTATCCGCGTATATATGTGACTATACAGGGTGACCCATTTTAACTTAGGCAGCCAAATAACTCGAAAAATAAGCACACTACGAAAAAATGTTTAGAATCAAAATTTCGTCATTTCGAGGGGGACGTACAATGACGTTAAAATTAGCCCCCCACCCCTCCCCCTGGGCGGTGAGGGGGGGCAAGTTTGAAATCTTAAATGGGAACTCCTATTTTTTATTGCATATTCGGAATCATTGGCTAAAAACACATACAATTTGTCTGAAACATTTTTCTCGATTCATGATAGATGGCGCTGTAATCGACGAAATTCAATTTCTTCGATTTCTCTTACTGAGAACCCATGCTTACGATT